ATTAATAAATAAATTTTTAAATATATATGCTTATAAATAAATAATTCAATTACATATATGATATATAATAACAATCTATTTATATTCTATTTTTATCAGTTGGAAAACTTTGATATAACTGCTGCAGTAGCGGCACGTAAGCAACCTTTTATTTGTATACAGACTTTTAAAACGGAACGTGAAGGATCGTTGGCATTAGATCGAGTACTTGAAGAGCTGGAACCAGATTATGTGATTATGTATAACACAAATGTAACAGCTATCAGACAATTGGAAATATATGAAGCGAGGCAAAAAAGAGCTGCCAAAAAACGTATAAAGGTTTTCTTTTTGATACATGCACGCACCGTTGAAGAACAATCCTATTTAACTAGTCTGAGAAGAGAAAAACAAGCTTTTGAGTTGATAATAGAAACTAAAAGAGTAAAAATTTTTAAAAATTTATATATCAAATATAATTGTTTTTTTTTTTTTTGTTAATAATAGACAATGGTTGTACCAGAATATCAGGATGGTAAGACGGATGAAGCATTTACGTTGTACAAAAAATATATAGATTCTGATGATGAAGAGTTGGATAATAAACAAACTGCACAGGCCGGTGGTCAGTTAGTAAAGAAACGTGAGATGCCAAAAGTCATTGTTGATATGCGTGAATTTCGTTCTGATCTACCTTGTTTGCTACACAAACGAGGCATTGAAGTGCTACCAGTGACTATAACAGTAAGTGGCTTTTATTAACTAATTTTTTAGATTTAATAATATTTATTAAAATAATCTATTATTTTAATTTTATAATATGTGAACGCTTAAGTTAACAAACTATAAAAAATGTTTAAACATATAGTAATAATTTTTAATCATTTTATTAAAAATCGACGATGGTTCTTGAACACTTTTTCATAGCGGGTTATTTTAATAAGTTGAATAAATAACTTAATAAGTTATTAGAATGAACCGTCCTGAGAAAGTACGCAAAATAACTTCAAAAATTCGAAGGCATTACATATTTGTCGAATTTAATCAATATAAACTTCAGAGACATTGACCTGAGAAGACACATACGGGTATCTTAGTCTATAATAGTCAGCGTAACTTAATAATTGTGGAATCACGATAGGCACATTTTCTCTGTTTAGGTTAGGTTATGTTGAGAGGGTGAGTACTGATACAACTACCAATATCGTCGTAGTCATCTTTTGCCCATTATCCTCCAAGTTAAGTGGGAGGGATGATTTACAATAACCGTTGTTGACTTCATGTGTTATTCTTGTTAAACCATTTGGTTTTTTTGGATAAGGATAAGATCTTATAAGTTAATTTTTGATAGTTTTGACAGACCAGTAAAAAAACGATTTCCAAGGTATTGAACTCACTTTGTCTGTAATTCTGGATAAAAACAGAAAGTTATTGCTGGTTGAAATTTATCGCCTCAAGTGCTACATGTGTCAAGTGCTACATAATCTAGTTATCGGAATACGACACAATTTAAGCAATAGTACAATGCTACAGTGGCCCGTTAGTGCTCTAGTAAGTACATGAACTGCGAGTTTGCTAAAGCCCACTTAGTTTTTCGTTTTATTCTTGTCTAATCAAGGCCATAAAGTCCTCGTGATCCCACAGTCTTCGTAATTAGTCCAGAAGAAATTTGTTAACGTGATGCTGAATTTTTTTATACTTCTAAACACTTAACATATGTTGTTGTTGTTACAACTCGTGGAGATCTGCTGGCGAATTGGAGAAGTGACTCTGAGAGATACAAGAATGGCCGTGATTACATCCCGGAGCCACCCGTTGACTTCGAATTGAAAAAGTACTGCAGAAGCAGATCCCTTCGGCTTACAATAACAACAACTGTAGCTTCGGGACATAAACCCGGTCGCTCTTAAAGCCTTGGCCATGATAATCTAGTAGTTGAAATCTTACATTGTGACAATTTACACATCGTGGTTGTCTGTTACATTAGTTCGCTTCAATATTTTTATGTCCAAGCGCCAAACCTTTTGTGTCAAGGCGAAACTTTGTGCGTCTCTTACGACTTAATTGAGTCGCGGGCTTTCTGCGAGTTAGGTTACCACTTGATATTAACATTTTGTTCACATACGCCTTTACATATCATTATTAAAATCCAAACATTTAACTTTAAATAACCAGAAATATATTAATTTTATTTTTCGTTAGATTGGTGACTACATTTTAACGCCTGACATATGTGTGGAACGTAAATCAATATCTGATTTAATTGGTTCATTAAATTCAGGTCGTTTGTATAATCAATGCATACAAATGCAGCGATTTTATGCTAAACCCATATTGCTGATAGAATTTGATCAGAATAAACCGTTCCATTTGCAAGGAAAATATATGATTTCACAGAACACTTCAACAGCAAATGCCGACATTGTACAGAAACTGCAATTACTAACTTTACATTTTCCTAAGCTGCGTTTAATTTGGTCACCAAGTCCATATGCTACCTCACAGCTATTTGAGGACTTAAAGATGGGTAAGGAACAGCCCGACTCGAAGAAAGCTGCTACATTGGGTAGCGATGAAGCTGGTGGTGCATACGATGAACTGAAATATAATGCAAATATCTATGATTTTCTCCTACGTCTACCTGGTGTTAACACAAAAAATATACACAAACTAATGCGACTTGGTGGTAGTCTCAAGGAGTTGCTTAAAAAAACCGAGGTGAGTCCTTTATGGTTTTAGATTATTTAATTATAAATTGAAATGATTTGTTTTATATTATTTGCAGAGTGAATTAAGTGATCTGCTTGATTCTAGAGAAAATGGCAAATTGTTGTGGGATATATTACATGTAGCGCACTTACCTGAAAAGGATGAAATACAGGGCTCAACTGCGATGATTGCTGCTGGCAAGTCATATGGCGCACACTCACGTTTTAGACGCGGTGCAGCTGCTGCTAGAGGCACTGGCCGAAAGCTGAAAAGTTAAGCATTTACTTAATTTTATTTAAGTTTAAGGCAGAGCATTAATTGTATTATTATTTAGTTTGATTATTTATTAAGTTTGTTTATATTATATTGTAATTACATTGCTATTGTTTTCCTCTTTAAACCTATTTGCTCTTAAACTTTATTCATTAAAACCTATTTTGTTATTCAAATAGTTTAATGGCAGCTGATGGCATCGCATGCAATTTGCCATCATTTTGGATGCCAAAAGCTGTGTTTGTGTGATAAATTGAATTAAAAATTAATTTCTCTGTCAGTTGTTGTTTCATTTGATTAATTAGCGCCTGAAAGTGAACACAAGGCTTCAAATAATTTCACTTTTGTTGCTATTGCTGTTGCTGGTACTTTTCCCTCCGTCCTATGCTAACAGTTAACAGCTAACAGCAAAACGATAAATGTGCATAAACTCTTTCTCAAACTCAAACTCTATTGAGTACCCGTCATCCATGTTCGGCTGACTGTTCGGGGTTTGTTGCCGGACGCTTTTAGCGTAATCAACTTCCGGCTGACTATGTGCTTCCTTGTTCCTTGTTGACAACTCACATATTGTATGTGCGGTGGGGATTTAATATGCCATTTTTTTGAGTGGTCAACTCAGACATGTTAAACATTTTTTGATTTTGGCTTTTTGGTTTGTGAAAAGCAGTTGAGTGCATCATTGATATGAATTAATTGTTATTTTTTTTTGGATGGACGGTATGGGTCGGGGGTTGTCTGACAGTTGGATTGATGACTGACACTGCGTGTGCATTTAATTTATATTTTACAATATTTTGGTACATAATTCGGTAAAGGATAAGTACAGCTGGGATGGGTGTTTGTACACCTATTTTCAAGTGATTTCACAGTTAATGATGCGATGTGTCAATGGAAAATGAATAAAAATTGCTGTAAACGAAAATATTAAAATTTTAAATCGATAAGGATTAATTTAAAATAAATTAAATATGCTAATAATTATACAAAAAGGTATTGTACGCATATGTGTGTGTATGGTCGTTATGGTATGCCATTATGTTTGTATCGATGATATGGGGTGTAACGGATTTGAATTTGTTGCATAAGTTCTACATAAAACTATTAAGTTGGGTTATTATGTTGATCATAGGAATCCATTTAGAAATACTAGCTGGTCTAAATAAGTGTTACTATTCCGGATTTAAAATCATACTGAAAAAGTTTAAAGCTCGAAATAGACTGTTACAATGAACAGAATGCGAAAAATATCTTTTGTAGTAGCACTCTATCTGAAAGAGCGGGCCTACAATAAAGATCGAATTCATAAGACTTTCGAGTGAAAAGGAGTTAATCGACTCCTGAATGAGAAACAAAAAGGATAACAGCAAAAGATGTATAAGTGAAATATTGTTGTATTTGAGATGAGAATAAGTGGAAAGTAGAATCTCGAAAGTGGAATCTGTAGGTTATGTTTCTGAAAGCAATCGGATCTATTCTCCAAATATTCTTATCGTAATCTATAACCAAATGCCGGTTGTTGCTGTTATTGTTACCCGTGAAAATCTCACATATATAGCAGAAAACATGGATTGGTAAAATATAGTAAGATAACGTTTTGGATGAAAGATAAATGACGGGATGGGTGGATTTTAATTGAATTTTGCCTAGATAGTGGCTAGTTCTGTGGGTCAGAGCGAAAGATCAATAAGGTTCCTTTTTGTGGGTGCATTAGCTTGTGAGAACAGATGGGTGACGTCATGAGGAATGAAGTTGCAGTTCGGGATAAAATAAATTTTGCTGCTTTTTCATAGGCATTGTTTTTTAAGGCTTGTTGTGGCTCTGAAAAGGATACTGTGTCTTTTTATGTTGAGTTCTCGGCTATGCTTTGAAATGGATTACTCTTTTCTTTACTATGAAGATATGGTTGTTGAAACAGCACAGGTACAGTTATAGTTCCTTAATGTTTCCGACAGTTTTATAATAGAAAGCTAAGATACACAACATTATTTTAGAAAGGTGTGACATTTACAGAAGAAAAAATCTTATTTCAGAAAATTGTTACAGTCACAAAAGTAAAGGTGTTACAGTTACAGTTACAGAATTAAAAATGTCGTGAACGCTGAATAATTTAAAATTCTGTGTATGTTAATTATAATCTGTAATAATTTAATCTGTATATATGACGATATTTACGTTAAGAATACTGAAGTAAAAATTATAGAAAAACTGTGTGAAATAAGATTCGGTAAAGTAGATTCAATTTTTTAATTTTTTAAGAAAATCGAAAATATTCTATATATATGAAGTATATATATAATTGGAATAGGTATTTAGGTTTAAGAAGGCGATTCACTTGTTTGAAAAAAAAGTTTTATAGAAAAGAAATAAGTTCTTTAGTAATCTCAAAGTTTGCATCATTTCATTTTAAATTACCTCTAGGTTATACATTTAATAAACAAACTTTGTTTTGCTTAAGGAATAGGGTTTAGATGTTTAGGTGTAATGATTAACAATATAGAGTAATCATACAAACCAGGACACTGAATCATACTGAGAGATCATCTTCTCTCAGGTAGAAATCATCGACCGGTTGATGGTCTATAAACGGTTCCATGTATAGGAGATTAAGATACTTTATCCAAAGTTATATACTCATGGATTGGATGGATCGTTCATCCATCTCTCTTAAATATTTCAAGAACTAATTTTTCAATATAGCAGAAAAAATTTCTAATGTTACCTTAGTGAAACGGAACTAACTCCTTTTTTAATTACTCTATAATTATATTACTTTAGGTGCTTTTTACTAGTGTATCCTTTCTTGAAAAATTTAGGCTATGTGTTCGCTTATTAATAAAGTAAATAGTTCAGATTTCAATTAAGTTACTATGCGGTTTTAAAAATAAGGTAAGAATATTCCGTAAAATATTCCGGAATGTTTTAAGTTATAGTATGGAAACGACAAAATCCTAACATTACTTAAGTAACTTAGTAAGTATGCAGTGGAAACATAATATTAGTTTTTATTGCGTTATCGGTTAAGTAGGAAAAAAGAAACATTATACAAATCGATAAAACGTTTCTGATCAACTTGTAGTGAAAAAATTTCTTCCTTATAGTTTCATTTAACTATTGAGTGATGTTATTCCAAAATATTAGTGGTTAAAATATTTTGATAAACTAATTTTAAACTGAAAATCTGCAAGTTAAAGCAAATATTTAAATTATTTAACTCAGAGGTTTCGAACTGTAATGAATTGTGACAACAAAATTTTTAGTTATTTTTAATTGATTAAATTTTTGGGCTGACCGTACTATTTCTGCTAAATACCCATCATCAGTGATGTTGCATTTATTTCTTACATTTAATAATTTGTAAATAATTTTTTGAGTTTGCAAGTACCAAGGGTTAAACTCCTACTTTGCCAAATATGAAGCTAAAAATAAATAAAAATTTTGTTGTTACAATTCACTACTGTTTGAAATCTTTCAATTGAATACAATAGTTTTTATTAAGTGAAACCGTCACTACAGTCAAAACTGACGTTAAAATCAAATTTAATATATAATTATATTATTCTTGATTCTTGATTCTTCTTCTTGAGTTAGTGCTATGACGCACTTTTACTCTATAATGGATGGGGGGCTTATTTCTACCCCACACTAGGCTTTAACTGGGCTAAGAAATCATATAATTTATTTGTCTTTTAGTTGATGACGGACCTTAAATCAGCATATCTTCCTGAGAGTCCAGAAGTGGACTTGAGGATTGTTAGGGCGGGGTTAAGTAGCGTATCAACTTTAGTGAATAATTTTAGAGCTCTGTCTCTGATACATTTTTTCACTGAGTCAATCCTAAGATTTCTATGTATGTCTGTTGATCTAATATACCATGGAATCTTAAACAGT